TGACGCATGATGACGCCCACGTTTGCTTCCTGACTACATGTGCTTTCATCTGACTCATCCCCATTTTCTACAACCAGCCAATCCTCTGCCTTCTGCTTCCACTGGCACGTGCATGCCCAGCATCCGCGAGTGGTCCTGGCATAAGTGTTTTCAGGCATGTCAGTGAATGTAAATTTCTTCTGAATGTGTGGATGTATAGCCTTATGTTGAAATCTTGTCATTTTTAAAAGTCAACATCACTCTGAGGTGATGCAGCACCCAAAGGCTGACATGTGAAATTTCCAAATGTCGCAGCAATATGTTTATAGATTATCTGGTGATAAATTATAGTAGTAGGAGGTAATGCGTGATTAATGGGAGAAATCAGCTGCTGAATGTGAGTAAAGTCTGCCTGAAGGCAACAAAATGTATTTTGTATAGTTCATTTTTCCTCATGATCTGTTTCTGTTGTCAGTATTTGTATTTGTCTCTGGGTTCACAGACAAGCTGCACTGTGTTTAATTTGAGCGTGGAAAACATTCTTGTTTTTGAATACAAGGAAGACTGGAATGTAGATAATGTGTTATTTAAATGCAAGAATAAAGGTAGTTCGGTTAGATTTATAATGACACTTTATTCCATAGACAACAACCAGATAACTGCAATATTACATGTACAGTGTTACAGAGAGCCATCCATAAATCATAAATTCTTGTTTTTAACATTAAATTACAAGAAATGTCACTTTAAGACCAGAATACATTTTTTTTATAATTCTCATAAATAACAAAATAAAGAAGAGAGAGTTTCATGGCAGCACATGTACAGCTCAAGGACGGTAACGACTCAGTTCTAGGTGCACTCGGAGCCAGATGTTGCATCTTGCACATGTTAAATGTACCTTGCTGAGCTTCAGGATGGATAGTGTATTGTTTTTCTTTATTTGAATGGAATTAGAGTATCATCCTCTTATTGTATCTGCACACATGCAGTTACAAAACGTAAAGGTGAAAGATGTTTCACCTCGCTATTTTTTGTTTTTCGAGTTGTTCAGGCAAGAGTCAATTTAAAATTGCAGGATAGGTTATTGGTCTTGGCGAATGGTGTGCTCTCCAGAGAGGCTCTCTAGTTAATACTGAATCAATGGATCCTTGATTTTTAGCAGAAGTAGATCAAAGCAGGCTTCTTGTTTGTAGCAGCAACCTTTAGTTTTATGGACTGAAACCATTTCACCTACAGTTAGCTGGTTAAAGTAAGCTAAAGAATATTGAAAACAGGGTCTTAAATATGAACTTTACTGCTACATATATGATCAAATATCTACTGAGCTTCTAGTGCTTGAATTCTGAGACCAGCCTGAGTCTTTTTAGCTCTATAAGTGGGTTGAGGCTTTTAAGTTGGTAGCAGATTACAAATGTTGTGCTATTTTAGGTAATATTAGTTTGATTTGCTTCCTCTTTCTTTTTTCCAAGCCTGTTTGTCTTCCTCTGATTGCTCCTGTAAAATGATTGCAACAATTACTTCATACAAACACAAACAAATGCATGAAAGACAACTTTCAAATACAACAATGCCATGCATATAGCTTCAGCATTGGAGACATTTAAACAGATTGCCTGGCTCGCTGATATTTAATTATTTGCAACACTAGAGCAAACCTAAACTTTTCTAGCATGTATGCTTTTTCGGCATAACAAATTTTCTTGTTATACAATGTGCAGAAGGACATCATTCACCCCAAGGAGATTATTAATCTACGACACAGTTAACAAATGTGGCAAACTCTCAGCTCTCACACTCAGCTGTAGCCACTCTAAAGTTCAAGTTATTTAAACAGGAATTTCTCTAGACTTCAGGTGGAAACATAGTCCGATTAAAACCCTTCCTCCCTTTGTTTACTGCTGCAACTGTTCATTCCTTCTCTTCATTCCTGGCCTGAAACGCTGCACAAAAGGTGACATTTGACTCCTTTGTTTACATGATGTGTTTTGTGAAATGAAACATAATGTTCTCGTTGCCGATGAAGAACACATTGCGCATGAGATACAACATTTGACAGCTCATGCACCACAGAGCAAATTTTGCTGCTATTTTGAAGCTTGATGGGCTGCGAAGAATCATCTACAGTTTAGTCTTTCACACTGAAGCAGTATGCACAGTGTGCCATCCTCGCATAGCACTTTTCATCAAAAACAATTTGCAAAGTTAAACTCTCTGTGTACAACAATTTACATACACAGTATTCTGATTTACACACGTCCCGATTAAAGGCAGATT